GCGGCGCTGGCGGTGCCCTCGGTCGCCCCCACCATTGACACCCTGACGCAGTTGCTCAACTCGGATCTGCGGTATGGCATGATTGCTCAGAAGGTAAGGGTCGATGGTTTAAGGAGAAGAAAGGGTAAGGGTCTATGGTTTAGGGAGAAAAAAAGTGTAAGGGTCGATGGTTTAGGGAGAAAAAAGGGTATAAAGGGTAAGGGTCGATGGTTTAAGGAGAAAAAGGGTATAAAGGGTAAGGGTCGATGGTTTAAGGAGAAAAAAGGGTAAGGGTCGATGGTTTAAGGAGAAAAAAGGGTAAGGGTCGATGGTTTAAGGAGAAAAAAAGGTAAGGGTCGATGGTTTAAGGAGAAGAAAGGGAAAGGGTCGATGGTTTAAGGAGAAAAAAGGGTAAGGGTCGATGGTTTAAGGAGAAGATAGGGTAAGGGTCGATGGTTTAAGGAGAAAAGAGGGTAAGGGTCGATGGTTTAAGGAGAAAAGAAGGTAAGGGTCGATGGTTTAAGGATAAAAAAGGGTAAGGGTCGATGATTTAAGGAGAAAAAGGGATAAAGGTCGATGGTTTAAGGAGAAAAAAGGGGATTATTTAGTTTGTAGGGTTAGATGGGTAGTTTAGATGAGATTTCAGTTTGTAGGTTATTCATGGCAAAGAAATTGTTTTTTTTTTCATGGAAAGTTGGATGAATAGTCTACACAGTTTGTAGGTAATATCACCGATTGTTGGAGGAAACGTTTATTTCATGGCGCAACAATGAAACGCACATACACAGCCCTTGTCTGTCAGGTAGGTTCTGCGAAGCAATAAATACGAGTATGTTATGCATACGGAAATAGAAGAGTGTATCCAGCGATGAACAGCTGTCTATAAATCACCAACATTGTTCATAACAACGAACAAAATAATGGTAAATCTAGAAACACACAAACGCCATACCTTCTTCAAGACAATAGGGTCAGTGATGCAAGGAAAATATTCACACTTGAAAAATTACATTAAAATCACCTCTTTCTCAAGTACACTGATGACATTCTAGTTTCCCAATCTTGCAATGCTAATAAATATTTAAATAAATGCTCATAAATAATAAATGGATATTTAAAAATAATCCTGGATCCGGATCATGACCCAGATCACCAACAAAATCTAATGGCATCTGTTCACAACTTTTTGTTATCCTTACTAACCAACTAACCAACGAACAAACGAATAACACTGCCGAAAAACACAACCTTGAGTGAGATAACAACAAAACAACGTCGTCTCTCCACAGGGCTCCGAATACCAGCTGTTCTCCACATCGAATGTCTCGCTCTACCAACAGCTGTTCCAACGCATGACCTTCTACTCGTCGGACGAAAGCATGGCGCTCGTGGCCGAAGGAAAGTACGCCTACATCTACTTCAAGAGCAACCTGGAGACCCTCGTCAACACAGAGTACACGAGCCTCACCGGGGAGACGCAGCTGCACATCGCCACGGAGGAGTTCTTCCCCGGAGGCTACGGGTGGGCGTTCCCCAAGGTGGGGGTCGAGGCTGACGTGAATGGTTCGCTTCTTAATCATGTTTTCTCGTCATGCATCTTTCGCGTGGGCGTTTGTGTTTTTGTGGGCGTGTATGTGTGTGTGTGTGTATAAGAGAGAGAGAGAGAGGGAGAGGGAGGGAGGGAGGGAGGGAGAGAG